GTTTCCTGTCAGTTAGATATGACTGTACCCAATTCAATGCTGCCTCCGTAAACCCATAATGCAATACTTTTGTCAAAATTATTTCATGATCCACTAAATCAAATGATGCACTAAAATCTAAAAATAGTACACCCACAAACCTGCCATTAATCATAGCATTGAGCCACTGGTCAGTCATTTCAACCAATGCAGTGGTAGTGGAATGTTTTTTTGCGGTAAGCATGCTGATTGGCTGTGATCAGATCATTCTTTTCCATGTACTCCCATATTTGTCTACTTACAATACCCTCCAATATCTTACTGAGTGAAGGGAGTAGACTAATTGGTCGACTATTGGCAGGAGTAATGGGTTCTTTGCTGTCTTTCGGGATTGGACACAGTTTAGCATGCTTCCATACCTTTGGAAATGTCCCCTTTTCCAGTGACCAATTAAATATGTATTTCAGTGGAGTCTGGGGAGCAGCATAATGAAGTAAAGCATTATCCTTAAGATCATAACCTGTAAATTTACCATTGGGTAATGACTTCAATAGGTTTAACACCTCCTCTACTGACACCATTTGTAGACTAAAAGAGCAGATTTTTTTGCTCATAATATGATCATCAATCCATTGGACAATAGCTTGTTTGGAAGAATGGGTGTTTACATTATCGCTCAGTAAATTAATTTTATTTGTAAAAAAAAAAAATCAGCTAAATGATTGGCAATATCAGCTGGTTTTGTTATAGTTCTCCCATCAACCTCCACACTAGATGGACATGATGAGATTGATGTACCAAGTAAGCCCTTAACTGTATTCCATACCTTTTTTGAATCATTTTTATAATCAATAAAAGCTTTTTTATTTAAAAAAAAAATCTGACGATTTCATTTAACTGCATAATTGCTTAGTGTTCAATAATTCTGTTAATCAATTTATAGTTTAGATTTGGCTTCTAAGACTTTTGCCTTATTCTTTGAGAAAATGCCTCACCCAGTTCATCATCAATCCATGGAGATGGATGAGCCCCATCTGTACTCTTTCTTACTGGGGCATGATGGTCCATTACCTCTGTAGCGTGATTTAAATAATCCTCTAGATAAATCAGCTCCCAGGGTACAGCAGCAAAATCATTTTTAAATAGCTCATGATGAAATGTTTTACATTTTCTCTTGACCAAAATCCTTGGGGGTTTCTTTGGAACCTTGGTGTTCAAGGTTATGGTCACAATATTATGGCCCACAAGCATTGATCTGGTTTTTAAGCATTGAAATGGTATATTACAGAAGATCAGATCAATGCAACTGTCCGAATGGTGAGCTAACTTAGTTGATGATCTAGTAGTATCATTAACAATTTTTTTCTCTCAACATATCTCATTAATTTAGTTATATTTGAATTATTATGATCCTATACACACATCCTACCAATATATGGGTGCCTGGTGAGGCACATGTACTTGAGCCTATAGTGCCTCTATTTGACATACAGTGGGGAAAAAAAGTATTTAGTCAGCCACCAATTGTGCAAGTTCTCCAAATTAAAAAGATGAGAGAGGCCTGTAATTTTCATCATAGGTACACGTCAACTATGACAGACAAAATGAGAAAAAAAGTTTCTCAATACTTTGTTATATACCCTTTGTTGGCAATGACACAGGTCAAACGTTTTCTGTAAGTCTTCACAAGGTTTTCACACACTGTTGCTGGTATTTTGGCCCATTTCTCCATGCAGATCTCCTCTAGAGCAGTGATGTTTTGGGGCTGTCGCTGGGCAACACGGACTTTCAACTCCCTCCAAAGATTTTCTATGGGGTTGAGATCTGGAGACTGGCTAGGCCACTCCAGGACCTTGAAATGCTTCTTACGAAGCCACTCCTTCGTTGCCCGGGCGGTGTGTTTGGGATCATTGTCATGCTGAAAGACCCAGCCACGTTTCATCTTCAATGCCCTTGCTGATGGAAGGAGGTTTTCACTCAAAATCTCACGATACATAGCCCCATTCATTCTTTGCTTTACACGGATCAGTCGTCCTGGTCCCTTTGCAGAAAAACAGCCCCAAAGCATGATGTTTCCACCCCCATGCTTCACAGTAGGTATGGTGTTCTTTGGATGCAACTCAGCATTCTTTGTCCTCCAAACACGACGAGTTTAGTTTTTACCAAAAAGTTATATTTTGGTTTCATCTGACCATATGACATTCTCCCAATCCTCTTCTGGATCATCCAAATGCACTCTAGCAAACTTCAGACGGGCCTGGACATGTACTGGCTTAAGCAGGGGGACACGTCTGGCACTGCAGGATTTGAGTCCCTGGCGGCGTAGTGTGTTACTGATGGTAGGCTTTGTTACTTTGGTCCCAGCTCTCTGCAGGTCATTCACTAGGTCCCCCCGTGTGGTTCTGGGATTTTTGCTCACCGTTCTTGTGATCGTTTTGACCCCACGGGGTGAGATCTTGCGTGGAGCCCCAGGTCGAGGGAGATTATCAGTGGTCTTGTATGTCTTCCATTTCCTAATAATTGCTCCCACAGTTGATTTCTTCAAACCAAGCTGCTTACCTATTGCAGATTCAGTCTTCCCAGCCTGGTGCAGGTCTACAATTTTGTTTCTGGTGTCCTTTGACAGCTCTTTGGTCTTGGCCATAGTGGAGTTTGGAGTGTGACTGTTTGAGGTTGTGGACAGGTGTCTTTTATACTGATAACAAGTTCAAACAGGTGCCATTAATACAGGTAACGAGTAGAGGACAGAGGAGCCTCTTAAAGAAGGTCTGTGAGAGCCAGAAATCTTGCTTGTTTGTAGGTGACCAAATACTTATTTTCCACCATAATTTGCAAATCAATTCATTAAAAAACCTACAACGTGATTTTCTGGATTTTTTTTCCTCAATTTGTCTGTCATAGTTGACGTGTACCTATGATGAAAATTACAGGCCTCTCTCATCTTTTTAAGTGGGAGAACTTGCACAATTGGTGGCTGACTAAATAATGTTTTCCCCCACTGTACATTAAGGTCATCCCTCCTCTTAAAAGGTATACGATTCTGAATGTACAGTGCTACACCCCCACCATTCCTATTCCTTCTAAGTAGACTATATCCATGAATGTTAATTTGCCCATCATTTACAGATGCATCCAAATGCGTTTCGGTCAAAGCTAAAATATTAATATAATTTATGTTGACCAAGTTAAAAACCTCATGTATTTTGTTAGGAAGGCTATTAACCTGAGCTATATGCAGCCCTTTCCTTGTCAAGTGAAGATCAATAGAGCATGTATTCGTTATAGTTGAAGTTGTCATGATACACTACAACATACAAACTCAGATTTGAACATTGGAGTCAAATAGCCAGGGAGTTACTCTAGAGTCCCGATACAGTTGCCCGTTGATGTAAAGTTTATCCATCACCAAGGAGGCTTGTTGATTCAGGCAACGCTTTTCTTTCATGATGGGATACAGCTTTTTTGCTCCTTTCATTGATCTCGGTGGGGAAGTGATCATTCATTCCAAAATCAGTGTGTCTGAGTTCTCTACCCCTGCTCTTAGCCATTTCCTTTTGCTTAAAATGTTCAAAACATGCACTAACAGCCCGTGACCTATTCCCAGAGGCTGTGGGCAGTTTCAGTTGAGTTGACATAAAGTCTCGGACAGTGTCCTCATAGCTTCTGCTGTTGTCATTCTCCGGTATCCCTGAAAAGATTAGATTGTCCCGCATTGATCGACACTGTACATCAAGCAAGGTTTCTTTAAGTTGTTGGTTCTCCCTTTGCACCACCTCCACCTTGCCACCAATAGAGTCTACAGGACCTTTCAGCACCGTCTTTCCTTAGATCGTCAATCTGACATTGGCTGAATTCCAGACTGGCACATAATGCATTGATGTCCTCTCGTAGTATATCCAAGATATCAAGTTTGGCTAGCCTTTCATTGATGGATTTCAACAAGTCAATATCCATATCCGTAAACCTCTCCCCACTCTCCACGCGCGCCCTCTTGCTTGGGTATGGTTTGATGCCATCGTTGATACGGCTTGGTCAACTTGGCTTTGGTTTGTTTTGTTGATTGGGTTTGTTGTCCTTAACAGTGCTTGAATTCTCCGAAACCAGCGACATGTTTCTTTGAGCTCGTAAGTATCTCTCGTCAATGAATCGTTCAAGCTCTTCAATGGATTCTGAATCATCCAGCGTGTTTGCAGGCAGAGTGGCAGTCCATTAGAGCAGATGAAGGAGATCAAGAATCTGGAAGGATGCTGTATGGACTAACGGTCTAAGATCCCTCCCAATGTGTTCTCCAACTCATAAAACTCAGTGCTGTTATCCTCGTAAGGTGAGGTATTGAAAAAATGAGTGTCAATAATTTTGACCCTTTGAGAATTTGTTAAACAAAATCTCTTTCTCTGAGCAATTGTATTAGCATAAAATAATATTACCCCATTTTTCTTGCAGACAATATAGCGCAGTATGATTTATTTTATACAGTCAATTTTGCTCAACTTTATCAAGGTTGTCAATCATTGTATGTGTAGTGCACTCTTCAATCAGTTTTGTCATTCAACTGATTTAATTAATGTCAACTAATTGTAATTAATCCTCAAACTAGTGTGTTGCTGCTAGCCTTTGCTGCGAACCCTACTGGTAAGTACTTAGGACTGTTTCTTCCCCACTTATTTTCATAAAACCCACCAATCATTTAACAAATCGATCAAATTGTTTTCCGTAGCAATATGAATAGCTGTCTACTAGTTCAATGCAGTTGTCTCAATGTCTTCCTACTTGTTGGTCTTGTGCAATTATGCAACTGTTTACTTGCATTCCATTTCCCACAGTGAGACTATTATTCAATTGAGCTTATTTTTCTTTTACTGTGACTTTTCTACAACTTGCTGTAAACCAAAATAAAAATGAGATATTTCCATGAAAATATATTTTAAACTTACATTTATATTTTTCCTACAATTTAACTGTAAGTTGAGTAACACACCTATTTCATTGTATCATACATTTATTTATTACAATTTATGCTTCAAAAAATTATATAATTATCTACAAATACACCAAATGAAAATAAACCGACACTAGTGGTCAACAGTGCATACTAGTTTCAACTGAGCAGAGGTTTTTTGCAGCATATTCTGTATTCACTCCATGAGGACATTGGATTACTCTGTAGACCTGACAGAGTCTATTCAATTTTGTTTATAAAATTATAAGAATGTGTCTGGGTGGATAGATATATATATCACACAACAAGCACTAAAAAGGCACACATATTCCTTTGAGGCACTAGGATTACTATACTGGGGTAGTGTTTCAATGTTGCCGTGAAAATTAAATACAGTTTTACAGTACGTTTGATTGGGCATTTATTTCCCCCTACTGGTTATGGTCTTCTGCTCCTTGCCTTTGGGGGAGAATATGGCATTGTAAGGCCTTCTCCTCCTTAAGCGCTGCTCTGGATCATTATCTTCTTTTATATAACCTAGTAGGACAAACAAGAAGCACAATGTTGTTAAACTCATTAAGTGGAGTTGGACGTCTAGTACATCTGAATAGAAGCAAGGGGGAAAACGCCCCTTATTGAAGTCTGGGACAAAAGCAATGCACTTCTCGAATAAAAAATAATATGTAAATTCAGTGATTAGACATGATTAGTCACAATTAATTAATACATGGGTTCCCAAATTTCTGTGGCCCACAACCCCACTTTGATTTCAGAAAAAGTTGCACTACTCTGTGAAAAAAGAGTAAAAATCAACAGCCAGTGTTTACTTTTTTACTTGGGGCTATGTCAGTATATTACAATTCAGTCTGTCTATTTTTGACAGTATTTCAAACTAAAGGAGGTATGGTTTGACGTGACTGAAATGCATCAGAGAGATATTGGGAAGTTCAGGAAACATCAGGGAAGATCATGTAATCGTGTATTATCTTCTGTGTAGAAATAACAAAATTGTTCAAATGTTTTCAGTTTCTCTCGCCACCCCATTTTCAAATCAGGCTACCCCACGTGGAATCGCAACCCCTATTTTGGGAAATGCTGAATTAATACATGACTACAGTATCAGCTACTATGGCTTTGATGACCATGTGACCTGTTGAATGGATCAAATTGAATAGGGTAGCATACCTCTGTCCACACAGGTTTGTGTTGAAGGGAAGCCGACTTCCCAAAAGTTTTCTGGGGTTGATGGAGGAATATAACGGAATCGGTGCCGAGAACAGGCCGACAACTTCTTCACCCTCTCTTCCTTTGGAAGGTCTGCGTAGTACTGAGTGAGATTAGATATGTTAGCTCAATGACACAAATCATGGGTCGTGTTCAGTAGTGCAAAACGTGTTAATTTCTTTTGAAACTGAAAATAAAAATGAGCGTTTAAGTTCAGGTCCCTGTTTGTCAGTTTTCTTCCTTTTGGTGCCTAATGAACACAACCATGGACCGGCACATCAGCTCCATGTCAAGTCAACTCACGATTTCACACTCTTTACATGTGTGCCCCTTGAGTTTCCTCCTCTCAGCCTTCTTGCGGACCACCTCCACGTGTGCAAACGATAATGTTTTACTACAGGACACAACGAGAGGGAAAGAAACCTTTTACATTTACATTTACATTTACGTCATTTAGCAGACGCTCTTATCCAGAGCGACTTACATTATTATTTTCATACCCCCTGTGGGAATCGAACCCACAACCCTGGCGTTGCAAACGCCATGCTCTATCAACTGAGCTACATCCCTGCCGGCCATTCCCTCCCCTACCCTGGACGACGCTGGGCCAATTGCGCGCCGCCCCATGGGTCTCCCGGTCACGGCCGGCTACGACAGAGCCTGGATTCGAACCAGGATCTCTAGTGGCACAGCTAGCACTGCGATGCAGTGCCTTAGACCACTGCGCCACTCAGGAGACGCCACTTTAGAAACTTTTCCTAGCATGACAAACATTGTTCTCTGCTAGTCTGATGATTATGATATCACCTGTCTTTAAGTTCTTCTGTATGTTCTCCATTGGGCATTCCAGGTTGAGGCATGTGTGCTTTTTGAGGAGAGAAATAAAGAGGACACTAAAAAGTTGATATTAATGCTTAACAATGAATGCTCAAATTACAAATTCATCTCAAGTATTGTACTCCTTGACCAGGTCATTGTGGTCATTCTCAACCAATTTGCTTGGTAAAATAAAGGAAGCAAGTAGCCAAGATAATAAATAGAGAAAATACAGTGTAAAATCCTTACTATCCTCATGCTCTTCTTCCTCCTCCACTTCACCAAACTCTTCCTCCCCCTCCTCCTGACGATGGGGCTCCTCTTGATGCAGATATGAGCCATCATACTGAGGACATGACTCGTACTCCCCATAGCCTGTTTTGTCAAATATCTCAGCCAAGCTGTCGTTGGCCCTCTGGCCAATCCCTAAAAGAAGGGTTCAAGGCTGGTTACATGGTTGGTTCGTTTATATGGGTCCTGCTCAAATACTTTTATCCGTCTTTCCTCTCATCACAGATCTAATGCAACTTGAAAGGTAAAAGTAAGGATTTCATTGCATGGCTATCTCCTCTTTGCCATATTTGAAATAAAATACTATGGTTGGGAATGTATCAAAATGTAGTGTGAAACAGTAGTAAGCTGTACCGGTATCAGAGCTGGTTCTTGGCGCTCCTCGGAGGAGCAGGCTGTGGCTGACAAAGGTGCAGTCCATATCCACCGTCACTCCTTCATCGTGGGGCTACACACACACACACACACACGTGAAGAACTGCAAGTATACACATCAGAAACAGCTAGAGGGTATAGGAAAGTAGCAAATGAATTTGGCGAATGTCCTACCTTTCCTAGAATAGGGGTGTCTACATCATACTGGGAGAGGGCTGCCCCTGGGTCCAGGCTACACGTCTGCTCTGCTGGCATTAGCTTGGCTAAAAAAGGGTAGGAAATTAAACATTATGACATTTATATTCAAATTGCTTGCTTAGATTCTGCTTAGGGCCAGTCAATCGAAATGTGCCGTTCATGAAATAAAATTATAATCTTTGTATCAATCAATGATAATTATGTACATTTACAACACAATACCTTTTCCCAGTGGAGTATGGAGTGATTTCAGTGCCAACATAAATTGTATTCGAATTCCATAATTTTGAATTTGCATTAGGATATTGCATTTGAATTTAATATTTGTTGTATTTGTAATGCACAAATAGAATCATTGAACTCATAAATTGAACTTGTATTTCATGATTTGAAACTGAATAGAATTAATATTACATTCAGTTTTAAAATAAAATGTCAATTCAATATTCAAATTCAATATGTATATATTCAGTTTCAATATGGTAGATATTGCATTCATTCTCCGTGTATCAAGTTGACAAAATATCATTTTTAATTGATCAAAGTTTCATATATTCAACTTCTCAGATGCATTCAGATTCAGTTTTCAAATTCAGTTCTCTAAATTCCGATTCAAAACCAGAGACAGCATCCTGGTACTTTGCCAGCCAGGAAAGGTGGAGGAGAACAGATAGAATCAAACGCTCTCTGTAGTAAACAGTAGCTTCTGGCGGTTTATGAAGCCAATGTGGCATGTTAAATGTATTTTCTTCCTATGAATTTGGCTCTAGCGTTTGAACCGTTTTGGCTATAAGCCATTCCTCCACCTTCATAGGAAGAAAATACATGTAACATGCCACATTGGGTTCAGAAGCTGCTGGCAAAGTACCAGGATGCTGTCTCTGGTTTTGAATCGGAATTTAGAGAACTGAATTTGAAAACTGAATCTGAATGCATCCGAGAAGTTGAATATATGAAACTTTGATACATTTGAAATTATAGTTTGTAAACTTGATACACAGACAATGAATGCAATATCTACCACATTGAAACAGAATATATGAATATTTAATTTGAATATTCAATTAAATTGAAATTGAATTTTTAAACTGAATGAAATATTTATTCAATTCAGTTTCAAATCATTAAATACAAGTTACATTTCTGAATTCAATTAATTCATTAGAATTTTAAAATAATTTAAATACAATATCTGTTGGCAATGAAATCGCTCCACAGTGGTGTTTCAGGGGCATCTGAGGGCAGTGTTGTGGATGCAGTACCGTTGATGTCCCGCGGAGGGCTCCTCTTCACCCGAGCACAGGGGTTGGCCTGCAGGACAGAGGTCTTCTCCAGATCCTCAGGCCGCTCCCGGCTCCGCTTTCTGATTGGCTCGTGGACATTGTGGGTCTAAAGGACAAATAGCAAAGCAGGGGTGGCTTTGGCTATTCAGGTACAGCAGTATGTTGATGCATAAGATGAGTGAACGTTTCAAAGAAAAAAAGAGCTCTTGATCTACATATCTATAATCTCTCATGGACAGACCACGTAACATAAATGGTATTTAACATCTCTCAAAAGACTGTGGGATGCGAAGATGAACGAGGTGTTCCGGTGCTTTTGTTTTCCGTCACTGGTTATTTGGACACATTAGGATTGGGTGAAGGTGGTGCTCAAAGTGGGGGCGGGACTTTCAAGCAATGACTTCGAGTGGAACGTTTTTCGAAGGGGTGGGGGGTGGGGGGCTTTGGGTGAGAGTTTCCCTTTACGGGGTGGAGACTTGCTAGTCTCATTAGTATATTTTCTCATACATCTTCCCCCAGAACCTAATCAAGCATCTGACACAATTACGCAAAACTTTAGTTCTGGGTTTCAGAGATTAACCCATCTATAACAAGGCTTGAATATGATGCATTTACCTGTACAACCTCTTGTATAATGTGTTAAGAAAAATACGGGAATAAGCAAGACTACCTGGTCACTAAGTGGCACATTTTTGGATCGTTCATCGCTTGGTGGGGTGGAGGGTTGCTTGAATAGGATGTGGTGCTGCTGGCCTCTGTCCTGCTTCTCTGCCCCAGGGACGCTGCCACCTCTCTGGGCATTGAACGGAGGCACCAGAGCCTTCTGTGGGGAGTCGGACAGGTCCAGAGGCTTGTCAATCACCTCATCTTCCTCCTCGCTGTTTTTCCTCCTCCTCTTCCCTCTTTCCAGCTCTCCTCTCATGACCAGGTGAGAAAGGCCACATGGGGTGGAGGTGGCTCTAAGAGGTGTGATGTGGGCTATCCCCTCCAGGTGGCGCTGCAGGCTGTCAGCAGGACTGAGCTTCAGGCCAGGGAGGTGGGATGGGGAGACGTTTTCTGTGGTGGTGGTGCCGAAGCGGCCCTGTCTCTGGGGGTTAGGCACTGGATCATCAGGGAGATCCAGGCAACAAGTCTCTGCTACCACAGCACCTTCATGACCCTGGCTGTTGTCCTCTAAATCAACAAGAAAAAGAATACTGTGATTTTTCACAGCGCTTTTCAAGACACTCAAAGACATTTTAGAGGCAACAACATAATTACAATTGCATGTCATCAGGCCTTACGTTGGGTCTGGGTGGCGTCCATGTAACACGTTTCAGGCACCAGTATGCCTCTTCCTTGGCTCTCCGAGGTTTGGGAGGGCAATCCTTTCCTTGGTTCTACCATTACAGAAAAAAAATAGAACTTCAATGAAGTCTATGAAGCTGAGTCTTGTAAGAAACTAAGGGCTCTATTTTTGGCAGGTGCTAAGGAGGGGCAAGTGTCAAACGCAATTTCGTCATGTAAAAACAGACAAATTTTTCCAGGCCTACTCCCAGGTTCGGCAATTACCTGTCAAACATCAGCTCGCTTGTGCTGAGGTGGGAGGGGTGGCAATATTTGAGGTGTGTCCTTAAAAACAAGCGCAAAAGTGACCGTTTCATGCAGCGCTAATGGGAAAATACACGACCCACACACTAATGGGAAAATGTAAGACCCACAAAAAGCAGGTCTTAACGGTAACGCAGTTGATAATGGCATGGATTTTGAGAGCGGAAGCACAGTGTATCCAGCCATGATGCACAGTGCCCTTGGAAGGTGAGATGTGCCTTTTTTGCTGGTGAATCTCATATTTAGAAACATTTAAAAAACGACTGCTTTAAAAACCAAGCATAGCCTACCATCCCCTTAATCAAGGCTGGTTTAGATGCATCGCATTGGTGCGTCCTTTTACCCATTAGCCAAAAGTAGCCTATGAATAAAGGGGTTTTAAATGGTGTACTGAGAGTGCGTCAACAAATTTGAGGGGTTTTCCCTCATGCTTTTTCATTATTCACATACCTGCATTTCGCTTGTTCAAGTAGGCTATCCATACCCATTTTCAAAGAGCGCCCGTTGTCCAATTTCCAAAGACACGCTCCTCCAAACTATTCAATCCTCCTATACAGATTTTCTTTAGAATCTGCCTTGCAAATAGGCAATGACACAATTGACAGGGGCCTAGTATTTTGTATAAACTTGCGAATGTTATGTGTAAAGACATTTAGGCCTACGTGTGCACACAGTGCCATGGAATGAGAGAAGAGGATTATGATATCATGCTTCTGACCGATCCTATTTAGAAATATTGTTGGAGGTTTAAAAAACAGATTGGTTTTTAATAAAAGTCTACTTATTAAAAAGATTCACCGTCCATGGGTTTATGGTGAGAATGTACATGGCTCGAATGCAATGCAATTTCGTCTTCTATTTCTGGAGAAGTGCAAATATGATGATCTGTAAGATGGTTCCATGATGTTTATAAAACATTACATTTGTGAGCAGTATAAAGGTAAGTGGAAATTCCAACCTCTATATTGGATCTTTATCCAGCTCCTGTGAAAAGTTTGGATGTGCGTAAAACCCTCCATTGTCTAAGTTGCCTTGTCTGTATTATACGCCCACGGGGAGCAATTACGGTGCCTGTAACTGTATTTAGACATTTTAAAAACAAGTTGTTTCGTTTTTATTATTAGAATGATACACTTTAGGCCTTCAATAGCCTAGTGAATTTAATCTTGCTTATTGAGTACGTTTGGCATGTCCAGATTGCAGTTTACAGTAGGCCTAGCTCCTATATCAGTGCAAATGCTATAGCCTATGTCTAACAAATGTATTTCCATATTGAAGCAATGCAATTAGAACAATGGACTGCAAACATGTTCAACATATTTAGCAAATATGGGGCAGGCTATTTAACGAACTAGGCTATAACGGACTAACATTCAAATTGGATACATAAACGCAATACATTAAAAGACTGTAAATACACAACTTTAAGAAGAAGCAACCATATATTTAGCCATAGAACACGTTCTGATTGGCCAGTGAGGGGCCAAGTCTCAACACACACAACTTGTTTATTCATCAAAACCCAGCCCTTTCGCGCCACAGCCAGCTACTGCGTCCATAATTCCGGTTGTGAAAATAGCACAAATATTTCTGACACCCCCGAACCTATAACGCTACCATCAGCGCTAAGATTTACCATTGCGTTAGGTATGTTAAAAGGGAGCCCTAAGAGTGAGTGTGTGTGTGACTGAGTGTGCGCACACCTGCATGTGTGTTTGATACCGAGGGTGACCTTTGAGTGCTGTATCTGTGTACATTTATTTGTATGAAGCAGACCGTTGAGTGCTGAGCTCTGGGATTGGGACAGGGGCTTCTCGGCGTAGCGGACATGGTTGGTCTCCTTCCTCCTCCTCATCTTGCTCACAACAGGCAGGGAGATATGCTGCAGCGGAGAGTCTGGGATCACCCCCTCCTCTGGCTCCGGAGACGCTGAGCTGGAAACCAAACAGAAATAACACAGAATTATAATGGCCATTGTGGTGTAATATAACATATTAAGATCAAAGTGAGAACCCCCTTATTCAACCATGCTTTCCTGCTGTGCAAGAGGAATATTGGTTTAGATTCAAAAGTACTGCAATGTGCCTATGTGAGGCGGATGGGGATGGTTTTAACTCACAGAGATCCCTTCATCCTGTCCAGCTCTAGACTCAGCTTTCTGTTATTATCCTGCAGGGTGTTCCTTTCAGTCACTGGAAGTCACAACAAACCACAGCGGTGAGTAGAGTAAATAATGGGGGAATAAGAACACTTTCTTGACATTTTAACTGAACAACAAAATCATGAAGTCCTACTACAGCAACGATAGGTCTTTGCAGAGCACTAGTGGTATAGAGAAAGAACTGCATCCCTATTGTGAGCGCGGAGGAATATAACGTTTGGGCGATAACATAGGAAACAAACAGATCATTCAGGTTTGCCATTTCCATCAATGTAAAAAGAGACTCTCCTCCCAACCCCACTACCCACAGACCTGGCTAAAAAGAGAAAGGCTATATTGTGTGATGTGTAGAGCTACAAGGGAACCTGTTACAGAGATAAAGAGAGATGGGGTGGTAGGGAGAGAGTTCCCTTGTGAACTTCCTGGCACTGATGGCCCCCAACCTTAGCCATAATCATGTCCTACTGTAGCCAAAAGCGTAGGAGCTGCATGTACTTTGTAAAAGAGAGACCAGTATGGAGGTGAATGAATCTCAGATACAGAATGTAGGGTATGTGTAAGAGAGAGGGAATGATGTAGAACTCACTAAGCTCTGCGATGAGGCGCATGTTCTGCTGACGGCCTTTCTCAAACTCCACCTGCTTCTTCCTCATGTGCTCCTCTGTGACGGAACAGCGATCACACAGGCCTGCCCGCAGCCTGCACAGAGAGATAGACAGAAAGGGGACTCATGAGTTGATGGATTTCCCGACACCTTCAGCACTTTTCCTGTGTTCAACACAGAGACAGATGGAGAGAGAGAGAAAGGACAGATGCGGTACCTGTCCTCCAGAATTGTGACGGTGTCCTGAAGGGTTTTGTGCTGCTCCCTCAGCTGCTGGTGTCTGCTGTAGAACTCCTCCAGTCTCTGGGCATCTCTACAGGGTGAGGGACTTATATATTTTTGGACTTATTTACATTTTACATTTTAGTCATTTAGCAGACGCTCTTATCCAGAGCGACTTACAGTCAGTGAATACATATCTTTTTTTTTATACTGGCCCCCCGTGGGAAATGAATAGGGCCCTAATTCTATGCTGTCCTACTGAATAATGAGTGTGAAAGAGGCCTTTCTGAGACTGACTTGCTCAGTGACATTTGAAACCTGAGACACTGACAGGGAATCAATGAGAAACAGTCTCAACTTAAGTGGGGTCACAAAACAATAATCACACTTTGGAATGACATGTTGAATGTCAGAATAGATTCAGTTTCAGATTCTGTTCATTGATCATCAACACAACGGTCAATTCAAATGACTGTACTCACAAATATCGCTCCTTCTTCAGCTTGTTCACTTTGGTTTGCAAACCTAAACACAGGATCAAAAAAGGGGATTGTTGAATTATTTATTTTAATACTGGCACCTAGTCTTGGTTGTTTTGGTGGAGATTTCCTACCATGTAGACAGTAGGCCTACCTTGCAGTGCACTATCGTGACAGTCTTTGAGTCGACCCCAGAGGTCCCTGAAGAGGTCAGTGGATTCCGAAGCCCCGCTGGAGCCCGGGCTGCTCCCGCTTAACACAGGACTGCTCATCATCCACTCACTTACTGGTTGGTAGCTTCACTCAGCCAATACAACTCCATTCAGCACCAAACCTGAAAATCTGACAGAGGAAGAGAGCGCAAAAGAGACAGAGGAAACAGAGTACGATGTGTCAAGAGAGGAACCTCCTTTACTCAAAGATGCGCCCCTAGAGGAAACTGTTGCAGAGTGCATCTTTACTGCTGCTAGTGCCAACATGTTGCCAGTTTTTTATAATTTTTTTATTTCACCTTTATTTAACCAGGTAAGCCAGTTGAGAACAAGTTCTCATTTAGCATTCTCTGGGAAAAGAATGCACTGAAAGGCCACTACAATACCGGTAAAATATGGTACCGGTAATAAATCCAGTATTTTACTTATGTACGCACTAAGAAGTGACTGCATTCCAGGGCACGCTCGTATAGTCCCATTTTCACCATATCCAATCCTAAAAGGCACGTTTTTTTCCCAGCGGGCAGTCAAATATAGCCTAGGCCTAAACAAAAATGTAAATCAGGGTTTGAAGGCAAGGTAGCAAGGTAGCTAGCCAGCACATACACTAGTTGAAGCTTGCCTTCACTACTCTTTCCTCTCTCTTCCCATACTGGTACAGTCAGATTGGCTCAATCACCATTGGTTAATAATCATTAAGTCATCCAATCACTAAAGCCAAATAATCAATTTTTCCCATTATTGAGCACAGACATGACAAACTAGCCAATTTCACACTGTAATCCTAACCTACTTCATATAATTACTCACAGTTCATTAATTAGTATTTTTTTTGTGTGTTTTTTTTACAGCATTATGCTATTGGTGACTTAGGCTACATTTCAACTGTCTGGGATAGGCTAGCTGAGGATTTAGCAAAAATGAATGACTGACAAGTAAAACGGTCATTGACATTCACCATGCGCAATTCCTCCTGTATCAAACTGAATGAAAGAGCCTTGTTCACTCACCCCATTAGATCGAACTGTCAGTCATTGTCCTCAATGCATAGAAAAGCCACCCAACAGATCCAAACTTCATAGAGAGGAGGAAACCAGAGAACTGCTGCTTCCACATTGGGCTATACTAGTAGTATGCTGCTCCAGTGCTCAACGCTACACAAACTGAACCATCACGAATGACAAACCAATATGCCTTTCATGGAAACTGGCCAGGCAGGTTTTGAGCATTCCCAGGGACCTGGCTGGGATCAGACCACAATTTGTTGGCATGGACAACTGGAAGAGCTGGTTTTCCAGATCAAATATAAACTGGTCTTGCCAGAAAACAGAAGGGAGCGGGTGGCTCAGAGGAATAGCAACACTATCCCTATACCTGTAGCCTACACACACACAGTCAGACTGATAGGAGCACACACACACGTAAACACCCATACACACGCACAAACACTTTCGCACGCAGACACACTCCTACCTGCCTTTGCAGAGACAAGGCAAATGTTGTAGCCTGCAGCTATTAAGATCTTTAACTCCACTCCCATGCCATACCCAGGAGCCGAGGCACATACAGTGAGGGAAAAAAGTATTTGATCCCCTGCTGATTTTGTATGTTGACAGTACTTAGTGGCAAAACCCTTGTTGGCAATCAGAGGTCAGACGTTTCTTGTAGTTGGCCACCAGGTTTGCACACATCTCAGGAGGGATTTTGTCCCACTCCTCTTTGCAGATCTTCTCCAAGTCATTTCTAGGGAGTTTTTCCCTAGCCACCGTGCTTCTACACCTGCATTACTAGCTGTTTGGGGTTTTAGGCTGGGTTTCTGTACAGCACTTCGAGATATTAGCTGATGTAAGAAGGGCTATATAAAATAAAATTGATTGATTGATGATGGTCATTAAGGTTGAGGCTGACGTTTGGCAACTCGAACCTTCAGCTCCCTCCACAGATTTTCTATTGGATTAAGGTCTGGAGACTGGCTAGGCCACTCCAGGACCTTAATGTGCTTCTTCTTGAGCCACTCCTTTGTTGCCTTGGCCGTGTGTTTTGGGTCATTATCATGCTGGAATACCCATCCACGACCCATTTTCAATGCCCTGGCTGAGGGAAGGAGGTTCTCACCCAAGACTTGATGGTAATAGCCCTGTCCATCGTCCCTTTGATGCAGTGAAGTTGTCCTGTCCCCTTAGCAGAAAAACGCCCCCAAAGCATAATGTTTACACCTCCATGTTTGACGGTGGGAATGGTGTTCTTGGGGTCATAGGCAGCATTCCTCCTCCTCCAAACACGGCGAGTTGAGTTGATGCCAAAGAGCTCCATTATGGTCTCATCTGACCACAACACTTTCACCCAGTTCTCCTCTGAATCATTCAGATGTTCATTGGCAAACTTCAGACAGGCATGTATATGTGCTTTCTTGAGCAGGGGACCTTGTGGACGATGCAGGATTTCAGTCCTTCACGGCATAGTGTGTTACCAATTGTTTTCTTGGTGACTATGGTCCCAGCTGCCTTGAGATCATTGACAAGATCCTCCAGTGTAGTTCTGGGCTGATTCCTCACCATTCTCATGATCATTGCAACTCCACGAGGGGAGATCTTGCATGGAGCCCCAGGCAGAGGGAGATTGACAGTTATTTTGTGTTTCTTCCATTTGCGAATAATCGCACCAACTGTTGTCACCTTCTCACCAAGCTGCTTGGCGATAGTCTTGTAGCCCATTCCAGCCTTGTGTAGGTCTACAATCTTGTCCCTGACATCCTTGGAGAGCTCTTTGGTCTTGGCCATGTTGGAGAGTTTGGAATCTGATTGATTGATTGCTTCTGTGGACAGGTGTCTTTTATACAGTTAACAAGCTGAGATTAGGAGCACTCCCTTTAAGAGTGTGCTCCTAATCTCAGCTCGTTACCTGTATAAATCAATGTATAAAATTTTTGACATGCGTTTTTCAGGATTTTGTTGTTGTTATTCTGTCTCTCACTGTTCAAATAAACCTACCATAAAAATTATAGACTGATCATGTCTTTGTCAGTGGGCAAACGTACAAAATCAGCAGGGGATCAAATACTTTTTTCCCTCACTGTATAACAGTCAGGTCTTTATGGTTTTCTCCAAAACAGCTGAATGTAAAGCATCCTTTTGTACAAGGCTAAGGATATCCTAAATAATTACACTTGGCCTGATATCTAGAGGGTTTAGTATAGGCTAATAGTTAATTGTCGCAACTCACAACTATCCAGGCCCAATGAATGATGATAAACTCCAATGCAGTGGGGTAAATTCAGAATTCAGATGAAAATTATGCCATTCTTTTAGAAATACTCAATTTAAATGAGATTTGTGTCACAGGGAAATTGTAATAATGTGAAAACAACAACAATTGACAACAATATATCAATATCACCAATTTCTTCGGTTGTCTGCAGATCACTGACAATCTGAAATGGCCCACCCTCAGGAGGCTGAATAAATTCAGCTTGGCCCTTAAGACCCTCACAAACTTTTACAGATGCACAATTGAGAGCATCCTGTTGGGCTGTATCACAGCCTGGTACGGCAAACGCAGGGCTCTCCAGAGGGTGGTGCGGTCTGCCCAACGCATCACCGGGGGCGCACTGCCTGCCCTCCCGGACACCTACAGCACCCGATGTCACAGGAAGGCCAAAAAGGACATCAACTACCCGAGCCACGGCCTGTTCTCCCCGCTACCATCCAGAAGGCGAGGTCAGTACAGGTGCATCAAAGCTGGGACCAAGAGACTGAAAAACAGCTTCTATCATAAGGCCATCAGACTGTTAAATAGCCATCACTAGCCGGATACCACCCGATTACTCAACCCTTCACCTTAGAGGCTGCTGCCCCATATACATAGACATGGAATCACTGGTCACTTTAATAATGGAATACAATGGCGCCGGAGGGGATGGCTGCCGTTTTACGGGCTCCTAACCAACTGTGCTATTTTGTTAGTTTTTTCGCATTGTTTGTACCTTATTTTGTACATAAAGTTGCTGCTACCGTCTCTTATGACCGAAAAGAGCTCCTGGACATCAGAACAGCGATTACCCACTTCGAACTGGACGAAGATGTTTTCTTTCATGAGTCCGACGCGAAGGATATACTGCTCTGAGATACAGAGGGAGAAGGTCGAGGTGCCTTGTTAGGATTCGTAGGCGAGTGAGTAAATCGCCATTACCATTAGTTCTATTGGCCAACGTACAATCACTGGAAAACAAACTATGATCTATGGTCAAGACTATCCTACCAACGGGACATCAAAAACTGTAATATCTTATGTTTCACCGAGTCGTGGCTGAACGACGACATGGATAACATACAGCTGGTTGGGTTTTCCGTACATTGGCAAGATAGAACAGCTGCCTCCGGTAAGACAAGGGGTGGCGGTCTGTGTCTATTTGACAATAACAGCTGGTGCACCAAATCAAATATCAATGAAGTCTCAAGGTTTTGCTCGCCTGAGGTAGAGTATCTCATGATAAGCTGTAGACAACACTATTTACCAAGAGAGTTTTCATCTATATTTTTCGTAGCTGTCTATTTACCACCACAAACTGATGCTGGCACTAAGACCACACTCAGCGAGCTGTATAAGGACATAAGCAAACAAGAAAATGCTCATCCAGAGGCGGCGCTCCTAGTGGCCGGGGACTTTAATGCAGGGAAACTTAAATCTGTTTTACCTAATTTCTACCAGCATGTTACATGTGCAACCAGAGAAAAAAAATTCTCTAGACCACCTTTACTCCACACAGAGACGCATACAATGCTCTCCCTCGCCCTCCATTTGGCAAATCTGACCATAACTCTATCAACCTGATTCCTGCTTATAAGCAAAAACTAAAGCAGGAAGTACCAGTGACTCGCTCAATACGGAAGTGGTCAGATGACGCAGATACTATGCTACAGGACTGTTTTGCTAGCACAGACTGGAATATGTTCCGGGATTCTTCCGATGGCATTGAGGAGCACACCAAATCAGTCACTGGCTTCATCAATAAATGCATTCATGATGTTGTCCCCACAGTGACCATACGTACATACCCCAACCAGAAGCCATGGATTACAGGCAACATCCGCACTGAGCTAAAGGGTAGAGCTGCTGCGTTCAAGGAGCAGGACTCTAACCTGGACGCTTATAAGAAATCCTGCTATGTCCTCAGACGAACCATCAAACAGGCAAAGCGTCAATACAGGACTAAGACTGAATCCTACTACACCGGCTCCAACGCTTGTCGGATGTGGCAGGGCTTGCAAACTATTACGGACTACAAAGGGAAGCACAGCCGCGAGCTGCCCAGTGACAAATTACTTCAATGCGCACTTCGAGGCAAGCAACACTGAAGCATGCATGAGAGCACCAGCAGTTCCGGACGACTGTGTGATCACGCTCTCTGTAGCCGATGTGAGTAAGACCTTTAAACAGCTCAACATTCACAAGGCCGCAGGGCCAGACGGATTACCAGGACGTGTACTCTGAGCATGCGCTGACCAACTGGCACGTGTCTTCACTGACATTTTCAACCTGTCCCTGACCGAGTCTGTAATACCAACATGTTTCAAGCAGACCACTATAGTCCCTGTGCCCAAGAACACCTGCCTAAATGACTACCGACCGATAGCACTCACATCTGTAGCCATGAAGTGCTTTGAAAGGCTGGTCATGGCTCACATCAACACCATTTTCCCAGAAACCCTAAACCCACTCCAATTTGCATTCCGCCCCAATAGATCCACAGATGACGCAATCTCTATTGCACTCCACACTGCCCTTTCCCACCTGGACAAAAGGAACACTTACGTGAGAATGCTATTCATTGACTACAGCTTAGCGTTCAACACCATAGTGCCCTCAAAGCTCATCACTATAATAATAATAATAATAATAATAATAATAATAATAATAAGCCATTTAGCAGACGCTTTTATCCAAAGCGACTTACAGTCATGCGTGCATATTTTTTTTTTTTGTGTATGGGTGGTCCCGGGGATCGAACCCACTACCTTGGCGTTACAAGCGCCGTGCTCTACCAGCTGCGCTACAGAGGACCACTAAGCTTAGGACCCTGGGACTAAACACCTCCCTCTGCAACTGGATCCTGAACTTCCTGACGGGCCACCCCCAGGTGGTAAGGGTAGGTAACAACACATCTGCCACGCTGATCCTCAACACGGGGGCCCCTCAGGGGTGCATGCTCAGTCCCCTCCTGTACTCCCTGTTCACTCATGATTGCATGGCCAAGCACGACTCCAACACCATCATTAAGTTTGCAGACGACACAACAGTGGTAGGCCTGATCACCGACAACGATGAGACAGCCTATAGGGAGGAGGTCAGAGACCTGGCAGTGTGGTACCAGGAAAACAACCTCTCCCTCAACGTGATCAAGACAAAGGAGATGATCGTGGACTACAGGAAAAGGAGGGCCGAGCACGCCACTCTCATCGACGGGGCTGTAGTGGAGCAGGTTGAGAGTTTCAAGTTCCTTGGTGTCCACATCACCAACGAACTGTCATGGTCCAAACATACCAAGACAGTCGGGAAGAGGGCACGTCAACGCCTATTCCCCCTCAGGAGACTGAAAAGATTTAGCATGGGTCCTCAGATCCTCAAAAAGGTTACATCACTGCCTGGTATGGCAACTGTTCGGCCTCCGACAGCAAGGCACTACAGAGGGTAGTGCGTACGGTCCTCAGATCCTCATATAGTTCTACAGCTGCACCATCGAGAGCATCCTGACTGGTTGCATCACCGCCTGGTATGGCAACTGCTCGGCCTTCGACCGCAAGGCACTACATCACTGGGGCCAAGTTTCCTGACATTTTTACACTGCTGGTACTCTCTGTTTATTATCTTTGCATAGTCACTTTCAAATCAAATCAAATTTTATTTGTCACATACACGTGTTTAGCAGATGTTATTGCGGGTGTAGCGAAATGCTTGTGCTTCTAGCTCCGACAGTGCAGTAATATCTAACAAGTAATATCTAACAATTTCACAACATATACCCAATACACACAAATCTAGTAAGGAATGGAATTCAAGAATATATAGATGGACAAGCAATGACAGAGCGGCATGGACTAAGATACAGTAGAATATTATAGAATACAGTATATAGATATGAGATGAGATGGCACAGTGGTCTAAGGCACTGCATCACAGTGCTAGCTGTGCCACTAGAGATCCTGGTTCGAATCCAGGCTCTGTCGCAGCTGGCCGCGACCGGGAGACTCATGGGCGGCGCACAATTGGCCTAGCGTTGTCCAGGGTAGGGGAGGGAATGGCCGGCAGGGATGTAGCTCAGTTGATAGAGCATGGCGTTTGCAACGCCAGGGTTGTGGTTTCGATTCCCACGGGGGACCAGTTTGAATTTTTAAATAAAAAATATATATGTATTCACTAACTGTAAGTCGCTCTGGATAAGAGCGTCTGCTAAATGACTAAAATGTAGTGCAAGCTATGTAAACATTATTAAAGGGACTAGTGTTCCATTTCTTAAAGTGGCCAGTGATTTCAATAGGCAGCAGCAGCCTCTAATGTGCTAGTGATGGCTATTTAACAGGCAGACCTGGGTCACTTTACCTCTATGGCCCACTCACATTTACATAATTTAGCAGACGCTCTTATCACTTCTCAGTCTTGTATGGATAGTAGTCTACCACTAACTAGCCATCAGCACCACCTAGGGTTAAAAGACTGACACACACCAAAGACCATATCTAACAGTATTTCTCACTCTGCAAACCTCTTCAGATTCTTGGTCATGTCAGAAATGAACATTGATTGGGCTTCTGCAGGATATATATATCTATATATATATATCTATCTATATATATATATCTATATATATATATATTGTAACGTTAATTTATACGAATATAAATCTAGCATCGGCGCGTGCGCGGATATGTAAGAGGCGCTATTATGTTGTGTTGTGATAGGTTGGGATGAAGAGGGGTTTTATTTGAATTTCTTAAAAATTGAACACTTTACGGGCTATAGTTACGATATTTAACTAGCTAGAGCTCTCTACCGTTAGTTAGCTCAAAACCATTCGCTAACAACCCAATCGTTTATTTGGCTAGCAAGCAAAGTCGAGTTGGTAATAGACTGCCAGCTTGCTAACGCCTTAGCGTTGCTAGACAGTCAATTACATCGCTAGACAGACAGCTATCAAAATATGCAATGACTCTGTAATCGTATGATGTTTAAATTTGAACAAACGTAATAATTTCACTACTTACCTAACGGTGACGTTAGCTAGCTCAAATTCACATATTTCAGTATTCGCGCCTCGCATTGCATGGTAGGATGACAAAACCAAAACATTCGGTGTGACGTGATCGATGGTTAGTGTTATTCCGGTATCCTTGGGACTTCCATACCGCTCTTTTTCGTCTTCTTCTTCGGAGGTTGTCATCCAAAAAATGTAGCATTACTAGTGCCACCTACTAGACTGGAGTATAACTCCTTTATACTTGAAAAAGTATTCATAATAATGTATAAATCAACAAATACCTTACAATCTAACCCTACACTCACCTAAAAACCCACCACCCTACTCTGTGCTTGAATTAAAAAAAATAATAAGATATAAATAAATCAACAAATACCCTACCATCACTCACTCACTAAAACCCAACACCCTACTCCACTATTTAAATCTATTTAGTCCTACCTCAGACCAACAAATGAAATGATGGGACACCTTAACAGACACTGTAATGCTTCTGACATAAAGTCTCGCACACCCAAATACCTCTCTGCAGCTGCCACCACCACCTACATTTTCTGTAACTTACGTTCCATCCCTGCAGTACAGTTGATAACCATTGCTAAAAATCCAATCTTACTGAAACATACACTACCGGTCAAAAGTTTTAGAACACCTACTCATTCAAGGGTTTTCTTTATTTTGACTATTTTCTACATTGTAGAATAATATTGAAGACATCAAAACTATGAAATAAAACATATGGAATCATGTAGAAACCAAAAAAGTGTTAAACAAATCAAAATATATTTTATGCTTGAGATTCTTGAAATAGCAACCCTTTGCCTTGAGTGCTCTGGCACTGGAATGGAGCCACTGACCGGAGCTGAACTGAACCCTGGTGGAGCGGACTGCTCGAGCAGGAACGGGCCGTACCGGACTGGAGACACGCACCACTGGTTTCTACAATGTAGAAAATAGTAAAAAAAAATAAAGAAAACCCTGGAATGAGTATTCAGACCCTTTTGCTTTGAGACTCGAAATTGAGCTCAGGGGCATCCTGTTTCCATTGATCATCCTTGAGATGTCTCTACAACTTGATTGGAGTCCACCTGTGGTAAATTCAATTGATTGGACATGATTTGGAAAGGCACACACCTGTCTATATAAGGTGCATGTCAGAGCAAAAACCAAGCCAGGTTGAGTGGAAAGGGAAGAAGGGGAGATGGCAGAAGCAGAAGTGTCATTTGAAGCTGAAAGCGCGTCGAGTACATTTAGCGAGAAAGATGAGTGGACAACAGTGAAGTCCAAGAATGGAACAAAAAGGGCTAAAATTGTTGTGGAAAATGAGTCTGATGAATCGTTCCTTGTTGGAGTACGTTTTTTGGATAAGGAGTTTATTTGGGAAAACCTTTTGAAGTCACGAGGATGGTGAAGAAGGGGTTGGGAAAAGTGGATGCAGTCAAAGTAACCAGGAGTGGTATGGTGTTGATATCGTGTGTATCTAAAGAGCAAAAAGAGCGTGCATTGTGGCTTGCGAAATTATCGAAGCATGAAGTGAACAGCTTTGATTTTCGGAGCAGGTTACCGGTAAAAGGTGTTATCTATGGCGTCACGTTGGACATTGATAATCAATATCTTAGGCAAAGAAATCCAGTAATAGTTAATGCATGTAACTTGACCCGTATGGAGAATAGGAAAAAAGAGCAAAGTTTATCTGTATTATTGATGTTTAATGAGTATTTACCACCCGATGTAAAGTTGGGATATATAAGATGCGCCACAAGAGCGTTCGTGCAAAACCCGATGTAATTCAAGAAGTGTAAAAAGTTTGGCCGTGTGTCAAGTTTTTGCAGACGGAAGGAATATGTTTTTGTTGCAACTGTGGTGGGGATCATCATATTTCCGAATTACCTGAGTGCCCTGTAAGGGTGAAAGAGGTTGAGGTGTCAAGGATCTGGGCTGTACAGCAAATATCCTATGTGGAGGGGGTGACGAGCATTGAAGGGGCCACAGTTCTGAAGAAGATATGGCGGTGGATGCAACCACAACCAGTTGCCAATATTATATGGCAATCAAGTGATCTGGATACACTTATTGTGAAGAAGGTGGATTTTGTGGCATTTATAGCCACAGTTATTAATTGTACTGCACAAGAAGTCCAAGAAGCTCCAAGACTTAACGGCAGAAGCACTGCAAGGACTACTTTTGCCAGGAAATGTTCCGCCATCACAGGATCCTTCTGACCTTGTGTAGGGAACTGATTAAAACAGAAAAGCACGCTGATTTAGTTTAATTAACATTTCGTTAGTGATAATTTGTATGGAAAATATTTTTTGTTTTGTTTTTTTGACCCCACATTTTTTCCTTTTTTAGATCCTTATTATCCACCTGTGACGGAATGCACATATAATTGTTGCAAACGTCATTATACCAAAGAAGAAGAAGAAGAAGAAGAAGAAGAAGAAGAAGAAAAACCAAGCCATGAGGTCGAAGGAATTGTCCGTAGAGCTCCAAGGCAGGATTGTGTCGAGGCGCATTGAAGGTCCCCAAGAACAAATCATTCTTAAATGGAAGAAATTAGGAACCACCAAAACTCTTCCTAGAGCTGGCTGCCCGGCCAAACTGAGCAATCGGGGGAGAAGGGCCTTGGTCAGGGAGGTGACCAAGAACCCGATGGTCATTCTGACAGAGCTCCAGAGTTCCTCTGTGGAGATGGGAGAACTTTCCAGAAGGACAACCATCTCTGCAGCACTCCACCAATCAGGCCTTTATGGTAGAGTGGCCAGATGGAAGCCACTCCTCAGTGAAAGGCACATGACAGCCTGCTTGGAGTTTGCCAAAAGGCACCTACAAGACTCTCAGACCATGAGAAACAAGATTCTCTGGTCTGATGAAACCAAGATTGAACTCTTTGGCCTGAAAGCCAAGCATCACGTCTGGAGGAAACCTGGCACCATCATGGAGCTCCCGACTAACAGCCATGGAGCTCCCGGCTAACAGTTATTGTGCTGATGTTGCTTCCAGAGGCAGTTTGTAACTCGGTAGTGAGTGTTGCAACTGAGGACAGACCATTTTTACACGCTACATGCTTCAGCACTCGGCGGTCCCGTTCTGTGAGCTTGTGTGGCCTATCACTTCACGGCTGAGCCGTTTTTGCTCCTAGACGTTTCCTCTTCACAATAACAGCACTTACAGTTGACCGGGGAAGCTCTAGCAGGGCAGAAATTTGATGAACTGACTTGTTGGAAAGTCATGACGGTGCCACGTTGAAAGTCACTTAGCTCTTCAGTATGGGCCATTATACTGCCAATGGAGATTGCATGGCTCTGCACTTGATTTTATACACCTGTCACTAACGGGTGTGGCTGAAATTGCCGAATCCACTCATTTGAAGGGGTGTCCACATTCATTTGGCATGTAGTGTACATGTTTCTCTGCCCTATCTATGAGTTGTTGTCCACAAAGTGGCACGGTGGGCTGTCTAGCTCCCGCCTATCCTTTCTTTGGATTGGTGGATTAATCTCATTAGTGTAATCCTAAAGAGTCAACCTTATTTGTTACTGACAATTCAATGGACACTGGTACTGGAGGATGCCGCTGATGATGGCAGTGCTGCTGGTGTAAACCGAACTATAAGATGAGCTTCCTCAAGTGATGTGGCATCTTAGAGTGGGGGTGCTTGCCCTCGCTGAGGTCCATTTGTATAAATGTAATGTTTACATCGATATTTAGCTAGTAGGCCTAACATAAGAAAGCCAGCCAGAAGGTAGCTTTATATTTGTTTTAATAGCTTATAGCAACCTTGCCATCCGCAAGTGGAATAGTTATGCAAAATGCAAATGAATACATTATTTTTTTTGTTATAGCTCTTGGTCTCAAACATGTGTGATGTAGGTCTGGACCAAGGCAGTCCTGCAGCCTTGATGCCTCAGCCATCTCTGGAGGCTGAGCAGACACAGCCAGGATGACCTTTGAAAATGACTTGCACGGACGTCCAAAAGTCATCCAGTGGTCCCATCATCTCCTGCCTGCATAAATGTTGCACCTATTATTTTCAGAAAAGTAACCCATAAAATATAGAACAAAATGGCAAAAATGTAGAATATGATGTTGTTGTCTCTGTTTCCGGGTTCAAGCTGCTCCTGGAGGTGTTTAGTGTGATCCACGGGCCTCAGGAGGAGTGTGTAAAGGCCTTAAAAGGTGGCCACTAGGTGGGGTGCGTGAGGCACTATTCAGTGACAAGAACTACCCCCTGCTCTGGGTCAAGTGTCAGGGTTTCGCACAGGTCGTCATTGACTCTCAAGTTGTAAGTGATTTTTCCCTACAGCATGGGGGCAACTCAATAGTCTAAATTTGCTTCCTCTTCTCCTTCATCTCCACTAGTTTAAAAACACAGGATGGATTAAAGCAATATGGTGGATGCCTTCACCAATCTTTCACCAGTCCTTTTCTTCCACATCTGTACAGATGAAGGAGATACAGTAAGTATAGAAAGCCACTTTAGATTGTTGGGATGCTCCCCACATTTTTCTGCACAGTTGTGGATCAAATGGCATTTTCTGCATCTTAAGAATCGTATTAATTGATGCACATTTTGTATTCCAACCCATCATTCCCATCTTTACACAAAATGTCAGAAGAGTATTCCGATCCCTTGGAACCTAGAGTAAGTTTGATTAATAACCATTTGATATAATACAGTCGTGGTCAAAAGTTTTGAGAATGACACAAATACTAATTTTCACAAAGTCTGCTGCCTCAGTTTTGATGATGGCAATTTGCATATACTCCAGAATTTCATGAAGAGTGATCAGATGAATTGCAATTAATTGCAAAGTCCCTCTTTGCCATGAAAATTAACTTAATCCCCAAAAAACATTTCCACTGCATTTCAGCCCTGCCACAAAAGGACCAGCTGCCATCATGTCAGTGATTCTCTCGTTAACACAGGTGAGAGTGTTGATGAGGCTGGAGATCACTCTGTCATGCTGATTGAGTTAGAATAACAGACTGGAAGCTTTAAAAGGAGGGTGGTGCTTGAAATCATTGTTCTTCCTCTGTTAACCATGGTTACCTGCAAGGAAACACGTGCCGTCATCATTGCTTTGCACAAAAAGGGCTTCACA